GAATGGTTCAACTGCAACTTACCAGATGGAATTTATCCAGAAACATTTTATAACAACTACTCCATAATTGAAGAAAGTATTCCTCATTTCTGAAATGTCAAAAGTAAATTTATTCAACCACTTTTTGAAAAATATTACTTTTTCGCAGGTCTGGGAGTCCTGTCTCACTACGTATAAAACAGTTTTCTTTTCAACTTTTCAAGTTTTTACATTTCATGACAAGCAGAATAAATTAGGAGAAAATATAGGAAAATTTTCGGCGACAGACAACATTGCCGAGAAGGTATGACAAACTTCAGGTCAGTTTTCTTTGACTTTTAATTTCTATAGAGTATACATCATTCATTATGCATTAGTTATGTCTTCAATTGACAAGAGAAATTCAGAGATATTTTTTGAAAATTGGCATCAGCCCTAGATCCAAGTTCAATACTGAAGATACCAAATCGTTTGAATAGGCTTCTCTACGATAAATGAGATCGTAGCATTTCCCCAATCAATTATTGAAAAGCCAGAAACAAAAACTTGATTCCTTCAGCCTTGCTGGGATGGGAATTGATTGGCCTTAAATAACTGAACGTGGTAGATGAAAATATGCTAAATACAGCTGCTGGATACAATTAAAAAGATTAAAAAAACGTTTTCACGCTGCTTTCAGCACATCACCTTCTTTTTTTTTCCTTTGTGTAATGATTGCTCAATAAATGGATAGCAACGCATGGCCCCATTCCATGGTTTTCCAGGTCATTTAACCTGACACCCTTTACTTTTTCTGAGGGATTAATTTGTGAACGAAATTGGTAACAGATGTTAAATTCATGTTCATCTAACCCATTGTTAACCCATACGAGGAAGCAGTATTGCCTCTTCAATAGTACACATTTGCGATGTTAACTCGTCAATTTTCCTTCTCGTAGTGCTAAGAATTCTGTCCTATAAAGTTAGCACATACCTTCACGCTTAACACGAGTATTTTTTTCAAAATTATTGCTTCATTTATTAGACATTTATATTTTTTAATACAATAAAGAATAAAAGGAATAATCAACACACTACTTATATATTTCAAGGATTTCCTGATCAATATAAACTGAAAATGAAGATATCAAGAAGGCAAACTTTTGAATCTCTATGGAACACGTCTATATGTCTTCTTGACTGTGTTCATTTTCACGAAAGTACCAATTTAATTTTTGTACAACTTGTAGTTTCATGAGGGTAGTTCTGATTCCTGAATAGTATGATCTAGGTTATTTTTGGTCCTCATTTTCATTTGTTTCGGTTTTCGTAATTCGGTTATAGTACGCGAAGGTAAAAGACGAAATCACAGATTCAGAGGCACTCATCCGCTAATTGGGAAAACTTTCTCAAAATGATATTAAAACAACATCGGTTAGAATCATTTCCACTTTTTTAGGTTGGAGTTTTCCTGAATCAGTCGACAAGGAAAGTTATAGAAAAATATATCTATAGTTTCACAGGTTGATACATTGAAATATTAGAAATTAATTGAACGAGAGTTAATTGATTTTTTCAAATTTTGTAATAAGGGCGAACTTGTTTTAACAATAGTTTTTTTAAAAAGTAACACCTATATGTAAATAAATTCGGGTATATGCTACACTCCATATTCTAATAACTAGAAAGATGATTACAATTGGACCCTATATATAACAGAGAGTGATGGTCCAACATCTAAAATTTTCGTAAGGAATAGTTACATATGATATATTTATCGCTATAATAAATGAATTTTAAAACTTTATTCCCTAAATTCGTATTAACAAACAGTACCTAAAAATTGAGGACATCATAGATTGTCAGGCTCTTACTAATCTAGTTTGAAAATGAATAATAACTATTCGGTATAGGGAAAATCTGAAGATACTTTCGTATACTTTGAGGGCACTTGAAAATTCATATAATGAACAATACGACTCAGAGTAGAATGTTAGATGAGTGTCAATGCAGAGTGAAAGTCAATGCAAATTCATTTTTTCGTCAAAAAATAACATCTTTTCATCATGATATTATACATTCATACATGTTACATGTTGTTAGTGAGGTATAACACATATTGTATATCATACTTCTGATTCATTCAATGGAAACAGTTCTTTGAAAGCACCAAACTTTCACATCAGGAAAATATTTCTTTCATTTAATCATAGAGTGCCTAAATATCTGTAGAATATATCGCTCCTGGTGTATACCAGTGATTTATATAGTACATTCAATACATTTTTAATAATTATACTGACTCGATATCAACAGTGGTACTGAAAGGGGATAATCATTGTGATCACACAATTTCATCATTATATTTCAATGAAAATATTGACTCATAAATGTATATGTTCAGAATGCTAAATCATCTTGTAACAATATTTTCGAAACGAAAATCAATGGTACAAATAACAAAACTATTTCTTATAAACAAACTTTACGATTCCTTGATTCACATATTGATGGAATTTTATATTTGGGGATAGGATAAAAATATGAAATATATAACCGTGAGATATTTCCCACAAAATTAGGACCTCAGTGGTGATTTGAGAAACATTTATTTTCCACTAAATAGATTCATTCATTTGTGTTTGGTTTTTGCAAGATGGCAAAAACTGAAAAATTGTAAAACAAAGATTTTGAAATATATTAAAAAAATATGCCAGTTAGAGTCTACTCCGTATGTGAGAGAAAACATCAAAATATCAATTATTTGTTGCTAGCCCAAAACTTCTATCCATTATCTGTCAATGACAGGTGAATATACTTATTGCTACTGTTAGAAAGTCGTCTCATTCGATAATTGAAATGCCCGCAAAGTTACAATATCACAATTTCCAGTAGAGCTTCGGATTATCTCTATCCACCTATTGGTAGTGAGATCTTCTAATTTGACAACTTTTATTAATAAATTGTGTCTAGGGAAATTAAAGTACCTAGGCCTATTTCAGCCTGTCTAGCTAAAACAGGCACATTCTATAAATGGAATTGTGAGAAATACTACTAATACTACTTTAAAAAACACTTCATAATGTGCCTGAAAGTATAATGGTATGTATATTTCAGTATATAAATGTATATTTCATATATGCATACGTGAATATGTTTCTCAACCTAAAGCTAATTTTTGAACTTTTGAACGGAATGGAATATTAAGGTCGGATGAAATTCATGAAAAATGGACTGTATTTTGATAAATTATTCACTTGAACAATCAAATGGAAAAACGGACCATGAGGCATACCGTTTCACACATATTTTGGTTATCAATTCAATAAACTCTTCATTTTTGAAAATTCGCCTTTAGGTTAATTTATGCACCGTGGAAAAAATGTGGTCAGATTTGTCTAACAGTCGCTAGATTAGGGAAAAACGTATTTCAAAATGAACATAGTAAACCGAATATTGACATACTTCAATCGAAGTGGCGTTTAGTACATTGCGAATAAAAACCTAAGGTGCAATTAGAAAAAAATGTCGCAGTAAGGCTCTCGGTGATAGTGGTGACTAGCAACTTGAACTTTATGATAGTTTGAGAGACCTTTTGAATTAGTTTACAATAATTTTTTATCATCTTTTTATCTCTTCAAATAACGGAAATAATGCCTAAGTGGGACACTCTGTATACCAAATATAATTTTCATAATCTGATTTGTGATTGAATCGCGAAAAACAAAATATTTCTTATTTTCATTCAAATTTCATATAAGAAGGATGATGATAAAGACCAAATGAGGTCATAAAAATTTCTCCGTTGTCTCCGTCTAGGAGATAATAGAGAAAACGTAGAGAATTTGATTTGACTTTCGTTTTCTCTTCTTGAAATTTTGTGTATATTACTTCAAATTACTTCATATTTTATGCATTTCGTTGGTGAAATTGATCAAAATTACGGTGTTTTCTTATGAGCATTGTTAGTTCTGTGTTCAGTTTTCAATTTCGACGATTGATAAATATTTTCTAGAACATGATTTGAAAATTGATCCTAATAAAACAATGATAATGCATTTTGGATCGCAGAAGAATCGTAAATTTGCAGAAAACAATTTCCATTCAGAACTAGGTCATACCATCTTAACTCCTATCAATACAGCTAAAAACTTAGGGGTAATGCTTGACACTGATCTCAGATTCACTAGTCATGCTAAAAATTTAATGAAAAAAGCTTATATGTCATTGAAACTGTTATACTGTTATCGTTTTATTTTGAGCCAACCTGTAAAAAGAATGCTCTGTGATAGTTTGGTGCTAAGCCATTTCAACTACTGTGACTTCATATATGGGCCATACTTATGATTCAAATAAAAAAAGAATACAAAAAGTGCAAAATTCTTGTTGCCGCCTAATGTATGGACTTCGTAAGTATGATTCAATTTCTGAAGCCTTTAAAAACTCCCGCGGGCTCAATATGAAAAACCATATAATTCATCATTTGGGTTGTTTTGTTCATAAATTGATTACCTTATCCCATTATCCCCTTTTGATACAAAAACTAATTCTGCGTGAAAATATTCACTAAAGAAGCATTAGACATAAAAACAAATTAACTATGCCACAACGTCGCACTGCACAGTTTCAGAGATCATTTCTTTTTGGTGCTGGAAAACTCTATAATTCATTGCCCAAGCAATTGAAGAGATTCAGTATCAGGAAATTCAAATACAAATATAAAAATTATATCTATGATAGTTAGTAGTGTCAACTTTTGCTCATTGGACATATTAATAAACAACAGATCAATTAAATTTAATTATTTATCAACTCTCTTCAGAAGGTAATCACAAATTATTATTTTATTTACGTTTCTCATTACGTGGTACCATCACTGTTAATTGCTTTTATTTTTGTATGTTCGCGTGCATTATGGAGTGGTGCTTGTTGGTTGAGTTAGAGTACCTTTGAGCTAGACTTCGCCAAGGAGTACCAGAAACTCCTGTAACCTATTTTCATTTTCAAATGTATCTTTGTATTGTTTTTTTTTGTATTATCAATAAAGCCGATTTATTATTATTATTAATTATGATATTATTCACTTTTCTATTTTTTTTTCTAATCTTATGCTTATATGACAAAAGATCCCGAAGCAATTGACTTCTGTAATCTTTGTTTTATATCTTTTCCGTTGCTGAGCTCCCGTAGTTGTTATCTATCTGTTTATGAATCTCAAGAAATAATTTAGAACTCATTGAGTCCACATTCGAAACGCTATCATATTTTTGATTTTTTCCCATCCATTGACATTTCAACATAATGCTTGTAAATAATCGAAATCGAAGGTATTGGGAACACTATTATATTACCCAACTTTTTTCGACATTTTTGATATCCCTTTCCATTCAAAAATTCACGCGGGCTGGGAAAGATATTCATATTCGCACTGTAAATTCTAGTATTATTGATTTCAGAATGGAGGTAACGAAAAACTCTTTATCAAATGACATGTGAGTGATATTCGTACAGTAATCCCAAATGTACAGTTATATTTACACTTACTTATATTGAAAAATAAATAGTTTGAAGGTGTTCACTATAACGATATCAAGATTTGTTTTGAAACTTTAATTTAACTTAAGCTTATTCTATTGTGCTTATTCAATTTAATATTTTGCTTAGATGATGGTACTTGAAATAATTGGTCACCATTGGCCAGAATTGAATCGAAAACTAATTTAACAATAGCTTCGAAAAGGTTTTATTCAACCAAGTTAGTAATGAGGTATGGATTTAAATGTATCCAATTTGCTTCAGTACTATGATAGTTTGAATATTATAGGTAAAAGGTTCGAAGTAGAAAAATCTTCATTACTGTATTGGCATTGAATATTTGTGCAATAAGAATTATTGGAATTTTGAAGAGATTATTTAAAAAAAAAGAATTCCTCCTTTGAAATACTTTTTAGTGCTGAGAAGATAGGAGTCCATTTCATTTCATTGTATAATCAACCAATTTCTTCTATTGGTCGAATTGCTATCTGTTGTGTTTGTGCCAATATATTTATGACATTTGCTATGGCGTCTAATTTTTTGTCCATTGTGCCCAACTGAAAAAAAAAGAGAAATGAGAATAATGCATTTTGAGATATATGTGATTTCATATACAGAATGTAGAGTTGAATTATCATCATTAGGGAAAAGATGCATCGTTAGCTGAATACAGTTGAAAATTTGGTGATATTTCCAGAGGGTAGAGATTTTTCAAGATTAGATGGTTGTAAGTTGCCAATTGATAGACGATTCCACATGATTGATTTGAACGTAAATTAGCCCATTATGGGTATTGTCCATAGGATCATATATACCGTTGTGCCTCCTTTCGGTATATTCTGATTCCAAGATAGAAAGGGTCAGCATGGAAAAATCAGAAAGTGTGAGAGATGCAAAGTCGGTGAAATTTAAAAAAAGTATATCAAATTTGCAATTTCTTCAATTATACTGCTTCTTGACAAAATAATCAATTTGAATGTTTTAAACACAAAGTGCATCTACATGAAACTGTGAATCGTATGAATTTTGAAAAAAATCTCTGAATTATTCAGTTCATCAAAAATTGTAACCCAACAGAATGTCCAAAAAAACTTTTTTTCTTTTCTCTGAAATGAGTAACTATCGCCTCAGTCAAATAATTGAGGAAAACTCGGACTTTTGACTTCCACAAGTGTTTCAATATGGGGAGTGTTGAGCATCGAGAAGGATAAATATTACGAAACTAAACTATCATGATTGTTTCAACTAACGCTCTGATTTGAGAGTAGAATAATGAATGTTTCATTATTTTGTGAATCATTAAACTCAATAAGAGAGTAATCAGAATATTTTTCTTACCTGTTGTTCTACCCTGTATAACCTAGCGCCTACCGTCATAGGCTTCACATTTCCTACTCTATCAATACCAGCTAGATAACTACCTGGCTTTCCCAGTGTTTGATCCAGCCTCCGCTGTAACTCCTGTAAAAAAAGGATTATTTATGGGCCAATTGATTCATATTTTGTCACTTATCAGATGGTATCTCTAATATTTATGGGTATTTGGCGAATATCAGCGACATCCGTAGCATATATGGCCAATGCTATCAATCCAGTGACTTCCGTAGTCAAGTCTTTCTTAGATTACAATGAAGCACATACTCGGCATGTTCTACTTGCAATTCTATTGCACTCACCATAAATTATTAATAAATTCAAGAAATCTTCATTACTGTAACCTAATCTTGACATTATTCTATTATAATTGGTAGCTATCACAATCAGTCAAAACCACCAACGAAAGTCTGACGTTATCATATTGATTTATGCATACTGTGAAATTTTCAGGTTAATCCGTTAAATAGTTTGTCAGAAACGGCTAATTAACGCTCATCATGAAAAGCCCTGTATTCAAAGAAAATGTCCAAAGTATTTCTTTTTTGAATATCATGATTATTATCCCGAAAGAGGTTATGAACACATGCTTCTTTTGAACTCGATCAACTTTGAGTTGATGCGTGATATGCATAAGTCGTTTACCGAAAAGGTCTAGTTTCTCAGTACTTAGGTTAGTCTTACGTCAACAAACAAATAATGAACACTGTTGTCACGAGTGATAGAACCATATTGATGACCTGAATTTCATAATATATGTTCTGTTATGTATTACATATATTTATATATTTGGGATACCCGTGATATCATTAGTGTAAATTATTATCCAGTTGTCAAATAGATGTCAATTAAAAAGAACATAAAGAGAACTCACATATTCATTATAAAGTGGTATTAATACATACATCAAATCAAATACATACTACTCATTCACAACAGTTTTGGCGACGAGGATGGGATGCCCAACAGTTCAAAGAATTCATGGAATTTCAAACTGCAATGATATCTACTCTCTTTTCTCAATTACAAAGTTCACAGAGTCAGACAAACCGTGAATCATTAAGCAAGGGAGAAATTGTGATGAATACAGCACTTTTAGCTAACTTCGAAAATTTTGACAGCAAGAAAGAATCGTTTTCAAATTACAAAAGCACGTTCCAGAATTACCTTCAAATGAAGCAGATTAATACAAATAAGCCTTATTGTGCTCAATTGCTACTAAATTCTATTGGAGCTCAAAATTTCAACACGATCACAGCTTTGGCTGCTCCTAAAACTCCTGATCAGTTGACATATGATGAATTGATAAAGTTATTGGAAGAACATCTTGCACCAAAGAAGAACGTTTTAGTTGCTCAACATCACTTTTTGTCAATCTATCCAAATGAACAACAATCAATTCCAGAATTTGTAAGTACACTTAAGTGACTGTGAATTCACATGCGAGTGCAAGAAATCATTTGCAGAAATCTTCCTGACAGCTCAATTCATTCGTGGCTTATACGATAATAGCATTCGTGAACAATTACTTCAGTCTGATAGTAAAACTTTCAAAGACATTTTTACGAGAGCAATTGCGCTCGAATCTTCGAAAATTGATGCTCGCAAAATTGCCCAGAAAACAATTTCAACGTCATCTTCAACAGTTGATATCAATGAAGTCAACTGTTCACACCAACATTTTCATAAAATGCACCGAAATCATTCACGTTCATATATCCCTTCAAAAAATAGAAAATCAAGGTACAATAGGCCACTCAGTCGCAAATATAACCTCGAATCACTAGGACTGCAGAATATTTGTCTTAGGTGTGGGAAATCCAATCATATCACAAAAGATTGTCACACTGAACAAACCTCACTCAAATGTACCTCATGCAACAGGACTGGTCACGTTTCTAAGGTCTGCATTACTTCATTAGTTGCAAAGAAGACAAAATCTGAATCGACTAATCAAATTCAAAGCGATGATTCACATGAAATCGCACGACAATATGGTGTACAACATATTGTTGATATTCATCAAAATCATAATAGTTTAGACACTGATATGAATCCTTATTACGCCCTCGTCAAGATAGAAGGAAAACCAATCAAATTCGAAGTAGATTCGGGATCAGCTTATACGTTTCTTCAACGTCAACAATTACAAAATTTAAATCTGAATATTCCCCTTGAACCAGCAACCATCGGATTCCGCTCATATACTCAAGATGTTTTCATACCCGATGGGAAGATTGTAGTTAACGTTTCTTATAGTAACATCAAAATAAAAGAAGATGTTTATATTGTGCCAGATAATTACGCTGCTATTCTTGGTAGAGTTTGGATCCGACGCCTCAAGATAGATTTGAATCAACTAAGTCAACAAAATACTTCAGTACCCTTTGAAAGATTCAACCTGTGGAGTGTAGAGGAACTAAGCGCAAAATATCCAAATGTTTTCGAAGAAAAAATTGGATGTGTTCCAGGTTCCAATGTTGTTCTCAAGTTACGTGAAGGGGTACAGCCATGTTTTCATCGTGAACGTGAAATTCCCTACGCACTCAGCACATTGGTTGAAAAAGAGTTGGATCCACTTGAAAATGCAGAAATCATAACGAAAATATCGATATCTGACTGGGGATCACCATTAGTCGTAATACCAAAGGCAGATGGAGGCGTACGTTTGGCTGTCGATTACAAAGTCGGAGTCAACGAGCGACTTATGAATTCACATTATCCAATTCGGAAAATCGAAAACATTTTGAATAGTCTACGTAATTCTCGATTCTTCTGTAGGCTCGATTTATACAAAGCCTATCTTCACATCAAGGTTGATGAAAAATCGAGTGAAATTCAAACAATTTCTACGCACAGAGTTACATACAGGATGAATCGATTTTACGAGAAGTACCTAAGAGCGAATTTTATTTTGATGACATAGTGGTTCATGGAAATAGTAGAGAAGAATGTGCAACAAATCTCAATGCATGTTTTGATCAGTTACAGAAATATGACTTGCATCTCAATATACGCAAATGCAAATTTTTTCAAGATCAAATTGAGTTTTTAGGACATGTCATAAAATTCAATCCAATATCAAAGTCACCCGAAAAAGTTGCTGCAATCATAAATATGGCGAAGCCGACGTCAGTGGAAGAACTCAGAAGATTCTTAGGCATGGTTACATATCATGTAAGATTCATTCCAAACAATTCAAGTAAAACTGCTCCTCTTCGTCACCTGCTGAAAAACAATGTCAAATTCAAGTGGACAGCAGAATGTGACAAACAAGAAATTGCCAGTCACCAAGTTCTTATGCCTTTCAATCCATCGTTACCAGTGCAACTTGCATGCGACGCAAGTCCTAATGGTGTTGCTGGAATATTGTCACACGTTGTGGATGGTAATGAACGGCCTATCGCATTTGCTTCAAGGTCTTTGACTTCTGCAGAACAAGGGTACTCCCAACTCGATAGAGAAGCCTTGGCCATCATTTTTTCTGTGGATCAATTTTACCAATATTTGTTTGCACGTCCATTCACACTCATTACGGATAATCAACCGCTTGTAAGAATTTTTCATCAGAACGCAAAGATTCCCAAGATGACTTCAGCACGACTTCAAAGATACGCTACATTTTTGTCTGGATTCAATTACACATTATCCTTCAGGAAAGGAAAAGATAATTCAAATGTAGAGCTATTTCTTAATCGACAGATTCGTATCATGCTGGATGCTTTGAAACCCGTTCATCATGAAAAATCAGCACCATCAAATAAGAAGGCACGACAACTCAGCGTGGGAGAAAGAGTTCAAACAAGGTATTACACAAATAATAAACAGTTATGGAAGACAGGAGAAATTATCAAGAGATTTAGGCTTCTTCACTATCAAGGGAAACTCGATGATGGATATATTTCGAAGAGTGAATCCGTCTTTTTCACACCTGAAGTAGAAGTTACTTATGAAGATCAATCAAAACAGTCTAATATAACTGATTTGGTGACGATTCCAGTGCAAGAGGAACAAGCCAATCAACCGGATAATATTCAAAATGAGGTGTTTGAACCAGATCAAATTGAAGTACCTGATGATCAAATACCTCATCCACCAACCAACATAACAGAGTTGAGAAGATCAGGCCGCCCTGTTAAACTTCCATCGCGCTTCAACGATTACATAGTTGAAAAGAAATAATTCAATAAGCGTGGGAGATTGTTATGTATTACATATATTTATATATTTGGGACACCCGTGATATCATTAGTGTAAATTATTATCCAGTTGTCAAATAGATGTCAATTAAAAAGATCATAAAGAGAACTCACATATTCATTATAAAGTGGTATTAATACATACATCAAATCGAACACTATTCATTCACAACATGTTCACGAAAGAAACGCAATAAATGTACATTTTTTTTTTCGTTTGGGTGAGTTGAGTCCTAAACTAATATATTTATATTTTATTTATATAACATTCCAATTTTGTCAATCTGCTACTCATCAGGGTAAAAATAGGAGCGGAGACACACAGTCGACTGCAATCGGTTAATGAATTCAAATATATCTTTAACTGTGTTTTTATTCACTAATTTACTTGCCCCACGTTGGGCGCCAGTACAGGTGTGTTTTCATTCAATAACAAATATTTTCATAGTGTACCCGTAATGTATACTATTCAAAACTACTCAACAAAAATGAATGTTATAATAATATTTTTCTGTTATTGGTTGCATACCTCTTGAAAATAAATGTCTTATTATCAGAAACAATGAGAAACAAACCTTGATTCGAACCATCATGTTTAGATGGCCCTGACTGTACTGCTCGATGACATCCCGAACGTCGTACGGTTTTCTCGCCTGCTGAAATTTCCTTCTCGCCACGAAATATTTGATTTTTCGGATGGCGCGTATGGCGTTCTTGTGTGCTTCAGTTAACCTGAAATGAAAAGACGACAGGCCGGTTATCTTTCGGATGATTTTCGTTTGGAAAAAAAAAACTCATTATTCAGTGTTCCCTTTCCACCTGAATCGCATATGAGAATATATTATTACGAACATGGAATTCTAGTGGTTCCAGAGAATGTAATTAATTTCGTTCACAGTTGAATGATCTGATCAGTAACGTGAATAGAGGTGGTGCTAGAGAAACTGAAAGGAATACTCGTTTGTTATCTCGTCATAGATACAGATTTAGATACTGTTGATCATGGAATTTTGTTGAACAAACTATTTGTAAAATTAATTTTTCAATTAATTGTCAAATTAACTTAGGTTGGTATACTTGTATGGTTGGTACGCATGAATGGTTTACTTGTATGGCTTACCTATATAGCATAAATAGGGTTAGCTCGCATTAGTTTCTAATTTTAATCTTCCTCTTTGAAGATGATCACTTGGTGACCGACACACGTGTCGAGGTGTTAAAAATAACGATTTGGTGTTGGGAAAAAACTCCAGTAATATTCAAAGAGGAAGATTAAAACTAGAAACTAATGCGAGCTAACCCTATTTATGCTATATAGGTAACCCATACAGGTAAACCATCCAGGCGTACCAACCATACATGTATACCAACCTAAATTAATTTTACAATTTTTTCTTATCTATTATTTTAATATATGTTTATATAAAACAATTTTCAGTTATATAAAAATTAATTTCAGAATATTACCTATCCAAATGTTTTTTTGCAATGTGTCATTATGTAGTAACCAGTAAACCCAACAGCATTATTTTATTTTATTTCAACAAGCTCTATAGTATGCTCTTTGGTCCGTCATCGTTATTCATAATATTATTGTGTTTACTTATTTACACACTCTCATAGGCATCTAGTTGCCTGTTGTCTAACTAATCTTAATAAACTGAAGTCTATGGAATGATTTTGTTGCAAAATATGATGAGAGACTGCAAATTTTTCAGGTCTTTCATATTTTAAGTGTGCTATGTGTTTCTTATATCTTAATTTAATAGATCTTTTTGTTTGTCCATAATATTTTGCATCGCAGTCCTTACATTAAATTTCGTGAATTCCAGACTTTTCCGAATTCTCGACTTTGTCCAAAAGACGAAATTTACGAAATTGATTGTATGGGCTGCGATGCCAAATATTATGGACAGACAAAAAGATCCATTGACGTAAGATATAAGGAACACATATCACACTTAAAATATGGAAGACCTGAAAAATCAGCAGTCGCCCATCATATTTTGCAACAAAACCATTCCATAGACTTCAGTTCTTTAAGATTAGTTAGACAAGTTAATAACAACAGGCAACTAGATGCCGATGAAAGTGTGGAAATAAGTAAACATAATAATATTATGAATAACGACAACGGACCAATACCAAATAGCATACTACAGCTTGTTGAAATAATTTTGTTGGGTTTACTGATTACTACAAAAAGACACATTGTAAATATATTCAGATAGGCAATATTGTGAAACTAATTTTATATAGCTGAAAATTGTTCTATATATAGCTGTAACATTTAAGCATACTTGAGACATATTGTAAATAATAGAAAGGCCAATTGTAAAAATTAATTTAGGGGGATACACTTGTATGGGTGGTATTACTGATTACCTACCAGTATGATGTACCTGACTAGTATAAGTAGCTTTAGTTTTGAGTAGTTATTAGTTTTATCTTCCTCTTGAAGATGATCACTTGGTGATCGAAACACGTGTCGAGGTGTAAAAATAACGATTTGGTGTTGGGAAAAAACTCCAGTAATATTTACTGATTACTACATAAGGACACATTGCAAAAATACATTTGGATAGGCAATATTGTGAAATTAATTTTTATATAGCTGAAAATTGTTTTATATAAACATATATTGTAAAATAATAGATAAGGCAAAATTGTAAAATTAATTTAGGTTGGTAGGCCTGTATGGGTTACCTATATAGCATAAATAGGGTTAGCTCGCATTAGTTTCTAGTTTTAATCTTCCTCTTTGAAGACTATAACTTGGTGATCGAAACACATCGAAACGCGATGTTGAAAATAACGATTTGGTGTTGGAAAAAAGCTCCAGTAATATTCAAGCTACATAGAATTCAACTAAGTATGTACCTATTTTATTTCAAGTTCCCTAGTCAACCTGTTTTAGAACTATCCACAACTGATATGGTTTTTTTTGAAGGTGGTTGACAATGCTTCGTGGTCTATTTCATCAGTTCGGACTTCCATTGTTTTATATATTATAAATTAATTTGATAATCCTGAAAAATACTAAAAAAAAGATTGAAATAAAATAACAATTTCATTAAACAAAATCTGAAATTACAAAGAAATAACATACAACAACCAAACAAATAAAAATTGAAATATTGATAAAAGCTGAAAAAATTTAAAAAATTAAAAGAATTATTAACAAAAAATTAAAAAAATTAAAAATTTTCAAACCAAGTTATGTCACAACGTTTCGATTGCTAGTATCTACAATCGTTATCACCCGAAGCAATATTGCTGTTGAAAGGTTACACTCGAGAATGAGATTTATTCAAGGTCATTGATGAGTTTATTCCTAAATCTAACATTAGTTGAGATAAAATGGTGTCGCTTTCAACTAGCGAGGCCCCAGCTATGATTGGAGAAGAAGATGTAGTGCAGAGAATCAGGGATGAAAACTCAGGTCTAATATCGTATCTGCATAATTCGTGCATAATTCACCAGGCAGCCCTTTGTGGAAAACTTAGTGCTACACTGAAAGAAGTGATGGAAAGCTTGGTCGAATTTAATAATTCTATGAGATCTCATGCTGATCTTCAGCACCGACATTTCAAGGAGTTTCTTTCTGACAGCGTATTCTGATTTACTGCAACACGACAAAATGTTCGTTGGCTGAGTAAAGGTCAAGTTATAGAAAGTTTCTGGCTGATATAAAGAGAAGTAACCTCCTTCTGGCAAAACTTAGATATAGAGGGAGCCAGAAAGCACAAACAATCGTAATAAGTATGCTGGTCGTGGCTTTTTTAAAAGATATTTTGAAATATTCAAATGCGCTCAACAAAGAATCACATGGAAATGGAAAATTAATATGTGATCTGATACAAAACGGGACTGCTTTTCGTCGCAAGCTGAAAAAGATATTGCAGGACAAGAATTTATTCATATTCCGACAATACTTTAATATAAAAAGAACTCTGAACAAGACATTGCATTGTTTGTGAAATTTCTGGCCTATCTTAGGAACGAATTTGCTACAAGATTCCCAATACTTTGCAGAGATGTGCAAGCTATCTCCGTTTCTTGAATCATCATTTGGAGTTAATATAGCAGCAGAATGAACATACGTGGCTACCAAAGGCATAACTTCAAATATAGATAATATATTTGCAAGATTTGAATAAATATATAAAAAGGTATCCACTGAAGAATTTTAGACCAAATATGTTCCAGAAAAATATAACTAGCTATAAATTTGTCCATTATGTTTGGCTCGACATATATATGTGAAACATCTTTCTCAAAGATTAATTTTTTGAAAAACTAATATTGTTCGAGATTAACGGATGCCCACATAGAAGACACACTTCCAATTTGCTGTTCCTATCGAAAACCAAACTATAAAAAACTGGAGTAATTTCTCACGTTAATTTTAGGTCTTGTGTTTTCTACTTCAGAATTTGATTTGAAACCAAAATAATAGATACGTAGCGCTTAATTTTTATCAGTTGTTTTTTTCTGGACCTCATCAAAATTTTCCCACAGTTACCGTACCCCACCTAAAACTACTGGCCGACCACTGATGGAGAATATTATAAGGAGAACTGCTGCAGAAACAACATTACAATCATTGAGGTGTTTACAAAATGAAACTATGAAATGCATTTCTCATCTACCTTCCTCAGTACCAACTGAAAATCTATATTCACAAAAGCGTTTACTACAGTCCGGTAAAAAGAATAAAAAAAATCCACTATGAAATATACAGAACCTACGAATCTACATCGACATTCAACAAGTTATCTCAATAATCTGTTAACGAAACATCTCAAATCTCTTTCAGAATATCTATATTTCACAGAAGATTGGTTGCCATTACAGAATTATATGTTGCATTGATGAACATTATCATATCTGTTTGTTTTGCTCTCAATTAGATTAGACTAATTGTGAAATGGCTCCCTGAAACTGCTTTCTGAAATAACTTCCTGATGTTTTATAGTTATATAATAATTGATTTGTATTATTTTCTTCTTTAATATATTGATGATTCTTGTATACTTTCTCTATTTCAACCATTGTAGATTCTTGAGAACGAATAAATGTTGCTTATTGACAAATTGTATTCTCAGAATCGCACCAGTTTTAGCAATATTTTCAGTTGGATTCCTATAGTTTCTTATGCTGATCGTGAATCTAAGGTCGAATATTGGCGTTCTTGTCACTCAAGAGTTGAAACTGTTGAAAGAAATCAACTATATCGAAAACTCACTTCTGATAAAATGTTGTGACATGATATATTCTTTTCACAATCGCATGATGCGGACCTCTATTAACTCATTTTGAATGTTTTCATAGGAAATAATATATTCAAAAATGTTGATATCGTCACTTCAGTAAAGCGTCTTGTTATTGTTAGCAATGTTAAGAAATGTTAAAGTCAAAATTAAGTTGGTAAATTCGAAAAAAATTACTTAGATTTTATGGAAATTAAATCTAACTTGTAACCTAACCTATCAAAAGCTGTTGTCCTCTGTAAGCACGGTCTTCATTAATTTTTTTTTCGATATTGTTCTTTCAAAGGTAAACGTTGGGCATGTTCTTTACTACTTTTGAATGATCAAATGTACGAAACTTCATCCTTTACTTATATATTGGGTTTTAGTCAGTAAATAAATAAAGACTAGTTGAACTCAAATTTGGAAAAACATTAAGAATAATTTTTGATACAGACCATTATGATATCTGCAAACCTA